GACCGTTCTAAGACATGAGAGGTTGAATTGAAGGTCCTGGTGTATGTTAGAGAATTTTTTAAAATGTAATCTCCACAATACTATAAGTGATTGTCACCATTGTGAAGACTTTGTTCCTTAAAAGGAAGGAAAATTAAATAGTGATGATCATCAAATAGTTCCATGAGAGCCTCTGACTATAAACTATAATTAACTAGAGATTTTCCCTTGGGGGTCCTTGTGCAGCAATTTAATTAATTTTATTTTGTTATCTCTTTTAGCATGTTTTAACTTAATATTTAAGAAAGCTAAAATATCAAATTAATTGGCCTTTTCCCTTCCTTTGCATTCTCTAGCTGCAATATGAGTCCCACAGCTAAATATGATCAGCTTGTTTTCTCAAATTTATAAAAGGAGTGGAGTGACATGGTTTTCCAGAGGCGTGACTCCAAGTTTCTTAACGTTTCTTATGTCAGTGTGTTATAAACTGTGTGGTTTATGAATCAGCAAAACTGCTCTTGGGAATATTTTAGAAATGAAATCTTGAGACTGGGCGCGGTGGCTCACACCTGTAATCTCAGCACTTTGGAAGGCTGAGGTGGGTGGATTACCTGAGGTCAGGAGTTCGAGAGCAGCCTGACCAACATGGAGAAACTCTGTCTCTACTAAAAATACAAAATTAACCGGTGTGGTGGCGCACGCCTGTAATCTCAGCTACTCAGGAGGCTGAGGCAGGAGAATCACTTGAACCCAGGAGGCAGAGGTTGCGGTGAGCCAAGATTGTGCCATTGCACTCCAGTCTGGGCAACAAGAGTGAAAATCGGTCTCAAAAATAAAAAATAGAAATGAAATCTTGAACAGTCATTATCTGGACACTTGTTTACAAATATGAAAATGTCTTGGCTTTTTCCTTAATTTGCACAAGGTCTGTATGAAAAGATGCTATATCCATTTTCCCAAAAGGTAAACATACAAATTAGACTTAAATATTGAATTTTAAGTAAACCAGAAATAAGTTTATTAATTTCTTGGTGAATTAAAATCTGCAATATTCACAAAATCTATTTATATTTTTCCAAATGTTAATGAACAGTCATAGAAATTTGCATTTAAGTGGATTAAAATGCAATTTATAATACAGAATATAACCTAATTATATAATTAACCTAGTATTATTTCATATTAAAGAGTTAGAATACTTTGAAGCTTTTCTGAATTCTCTACTTGTATTTTAAAAGCTAATATTTTAGTGCTTTATGTGCATTTTAAATTTATTTTTATTTTTTCACCTCTCCTTGCCATATGTGCATATTTAAAATGTTTGAAAGTACTAATAGAAAACTCATGCATGTAAAACTATAATTCACAGCAAAACAGTCGAGTTGGGGGTCCTTTTCCTTCTCTAAAATAAACAAAACAAAACAGAAAACCATAAATACAATTTCATGGCATCAGTATACCTCAGTCTCCTACCAGTGTTGTGAATGGAATAATTACAAGAAAGTCAGCAATGTAACCAAAGTAATTCAGAAAAATGTGTGAGCTCTTTTTTTTTTTGAGACGGAGTCTCGCTGTGTTTCCCAGGCTGGAGTGCAGTGGCGCCATCTGGGCTCACTGCAAGCGCCGCCTCCCAGGTTCTGTGTGAGCTCTTATACTTAAATTTGTGTTTAAAAAGACTGAGTTTTTCTTTTTTTCTCTATGTACTTCATACTTTACTTTCAAGCTCCGATCTACTAGAATGAAGAAAGGCTGACTAGAACTTCCCTTTTCAGTCTTAAACTTATATGAATAGTATTCTTCTCCATCTCTCCTTTTTTTGCCTCTATCTTTTCAATTTATGTTGGAAGAGACTAGGCCAAAGATTTTTAAAGATGTCTATGTATAGCTACATTATAAAGATTAGATGCATTCTAAAATTGTGATTTCATAAATTTAACTCTAAGTATATAATTTATAAATACCAAAATGTAGTTAAAATCTGCTCTCACTGTAAAGTGTTAAAATTCAGAAGAATATTTGATGTAATCGTTTTCCCTCTTGTTAAATGCCATGTTTGAATTTGCTGTGACATTAGAGAAATTTAACTTTCTCAGGTTGGGATAGGGTACTTAATAAATGATTAATGATGGAATTAATTTGTTACATTTTCTAAAAATTGAAATGAATATAAACGCACAATTAACATAAATTTGAGTAACCAAAGTCAATTTTTAGACAGATTATGTGTTTTTTTCTTAATAGGATTAATAGAAAGATTTGAAACATATATAATGAACTCATACAGTTTACATAAATGTGACTAATATAAAGCACATCTTGATAAATTAGTATGTGTTATCATGCCTCATAATTAACAAGCAATTAGAAATTAAA